CCTCTTCCTGCCCTGGAAACCACATTTGATGACTTGCCCTCTTACTGTTACGAGTATTTCCAGGACTTTTAGGAGCAGAGCATGATTTATTTAATAGTGTTCCTGGCAGCGGCACTCTTCTGTTATTTAAAATTCTTTGCCCTGTCCTGATGGCTTTATTTATTCAGAGTCAGTTCAAGAGGCTGCTTGACAACAGAGCCAAAGCAGAGGGGGTACTCTGCTGTGTTGACGATACATGAGCAGTAGCTTCCAGGATTTACTGCGAAGCATTCAAATCAGCCAGACCTGCCTCTTCAATAACCCTAATGGGTTGTTGTGAAAGTGGGCCAGAACAGAAGATGAATCAGTGTACAAACAAATACCTTTTCCACCACTTCCTCATGTGTGTCATTTTCCACATTTTTTCCATTGATTTCAATCAGGCGATCGTTATTTTGGACACCAGCCTTTGCAGCTGCTCCTTGTGATGAAAGCTCTACTATGAACAACCCCTTCTGTCCTAAAATAAATGAAAGCTCATTACGCAGGGCAAGTTGCTGACATATGCCTGAATTTAATGGTTAAGGAAACTCGGTACTGATGACCTTAGAGACTCCTGGACTCTGCTTACAGGCAGATTACAGTGACACCACAAATCTTAGACATACCTCCATCTCTCTTATTCTGTCCTGAAAAAATCACTTCTGTGCGGGTGGGAGGCATTTGTTCGCTATCTGCAGCTCAAACAATCTTTCATTTATCAAGAGTCCTAAAGGGGAGCACTGGATTTGATTCTCACCTCCTCCCCCTCCCAGTTTGAAGTGAGGAGCTGCTTTTGGTGTTGTTTTATACATTTCACAATTTACTGTGTTTGAAAGGCTTACTTGTTTGGTCTTTCAGTTATATTACATTTTGAAATATCCTCTGTAGAGGTGATGCTCTCCAGAAGACTTCCCTATTCTGTTAACTGGCCTTGGAAGAAAGTTATATGTGAAGGAGGTTCAAAATCCCTTGCTTTCTAAATGAAATAACTTACAAATTGGAAATGTGTTTATTACAGCTGTCTAGAACTTTGTCTGCTGGTACCTGAGGTTATTTGAAGGAATAGAACAGGACTTGATGTAGCATCTTGAGCGTATATCTGGTATTTAATCAGGGACTGCAAATTTTATTTTGGTATGTGGGCTTAGATAACAAGCAGACAATAGCTTATTCTTTTTATCTCTTCCCTCTACTCCCCCATCTTTTCTCCACCCCATAAGAAATGTGGTCCTTGGAAAACCGTGCACTGCATATGCTGTGCAGAAAAGGGCTAGTGGTAGACCTGACCTCATCATGCTTCTCACTTTCTGTCAGCAAGAGCAGTTTGTGTGTCCACATTGGCCTCCACGTTAACTGTGGGTGCCTCTGTCCCTGCTTGCCGTCTCTCTCTATACACGCCATCTCTTCTCACCAGGCTCTCACCTTCTGTGGTTTTCAGAGAGAAGCCATAGCCTTTCTCTTCCTTCACTAGGTAGCAGAGTCGGGGTTGTGGAACTGCGGTGATTGCTCCATTGACCATGGATGGTGGGGACTGCTGCTCCTGTTGCTGTCCTGTTGACACTTTTTGACCAAGCTCTTCCAAGTTTAGTCCTTCCTTTTCAGCCTTTTGATAGGACGCATCATCCAGAACAAGTAGTACAACAGAATTCCCGCTGTTTTTGACAATCTCCACCACCTGTAGTGGGCAAGGCAAGCATGTGCTAGAGCAATTGACCTTAAAACATTCCCCAGGAAGACTTGCACCATCTATTGTTTTTGTTGTCTCATCCCTGTGCTTATACACTGTGGAGGCACCTCAAAGACATTTCATGCCCATGGTGGGTAATGAATACTGTGGGGAGATTCTCAGAGCAGTTGACTTGGCTTTTGGATTTCCTAGCTGAAGATGTCATAACTGGAATAGAAAGCTTCACATAGTGGTATTGGTTCTGGGTAACGGGGAAGTGGTGTGGGTACAGGGCTAAACAGAGAAGTACCTGTGCATGTTCTTGCTTGTCTACAAACACACCATTAACTCTGAGGACTCTGTCTCCATCCTTCAAGCCAGCCTTTTCAGCTGGGCTGTTCTTTGCCACGTTCCGGATGAGATGTCCTGCTGTGTCTTTCTCAACACGCAGGTAGAATCCGTAAGTCTTTTGGGGTGTTTTGGTCACTTTACATTCTCGGGGCTGGAGAACAGAAATCATCTCTAGCAGACAAGATGGAAAAGGCATGTGTCAGTAAGAATAGTAAGCTTACCTAGTTATGCTCACTCTGTATACATACAGAGAGTTTGCTTCAGAATTCTTGGGTTTTTGCTTCCTGGGAAATCCTGCTGTGCAAAGCTGAAGCTAGTTAACAAGGACAGGGAGAAAAAAACAATCCCCTTTCCCCTCCTTGCTTTTCTTGTCTCCCTATCTCAAATGAAGTTGAGCAAGATGCAGATCTGGAAGAAAGAAGTTGTCTGCCTGTGACAATGTGGTGAAAATTGAGGTGAGGATTTAATACCTGAATTAAGTCTTTGAGAGGAAAAATGACGGCAGCCCAAAAGTATTGGAACATTGTTAGGAAAGCTGTGTGACAAAACAGGATTTCACAGAAGCACCGAATGCTCGGGGTGGGAAGGCACCTCCAGAGGTCATGTGGTCCTATGCCCCAGCTCAAGCAAGGCCACCTAGAGCCAGTTCCCCAGGAACCAAGTCTTGATGGCTTTCAAATATCTCCAAGGAGGGAAGCTCCGTTACTTCTCTGGGCAACCTGTGCCAGTGCTCAAGTCAATCTCATAGTAATAAAAAGCATCCTTATGTTCAGATGGAGCTGGCTGTGTTTCAGTTTATGCCCATTTTGTTCTGTCACTGGTTACCACTGAAAGGAGCCTGGCTCCATCTTTGAACCCTCCCTTCAGATATTCTTATACACTAAAAAGTCTCCCCTGAGCCTTTGCTTCACCAGGCTGAGCAGTCCCAGCTGTCAGCCTTTTGAGTGTCTCCAAGGATGAACACTCTACTGGGCAACCTGTACAGATGGATGAGCAGCTGAGAGCAAGGAAGAACCTCATTGGCCTAACCCGCCTTTCCTGTTCTTAGTTATTTTAGCTAAACAAAATTAAGTTTTGGGAAAGACATTGTAGCTGTGGTGTTATTTTTAATGAGCACAGGGTTTGCATTGAAGGGTGGAAAGCAAGGACTATAAAGGAACTAGGAAGACCCTTGTCTATGCTTACAAAGCTTTTTTTTCTTCTAGCTGTGTTCAGTATTTCTACATCCCAGTTTTCATACAAAATGGTGCACTTGCTTTATTTCTGTGCCCTTTAGGAGCTACTGATAGAATCAAAGTTCTTGGAGCTCTCCATGTTTTCCTCTGCCTTTGAGTCCTAATTAAATACTCTGATTCCATTATGAAAAGGAGCTAACAGGCTATTTCACTTTGGTATTTCATTATGCATGAGGTTTGGGTGAGATGTGAATGCAGGTATTGTGAGGTCTAACAAAAGTGTAGAATATTCAGGCATACACCTAGTGACAATGTGAATGTGCCATCAGGTAATCGCTTGCAGGAGAGGTAATTTAATACTGCCTGGTCTGTGTGGAACAAAACAGGAGTTGAGACAGTGCGCTTCTCTTGTAATTCTCACATAAATCCTGAAATGACCATAAAGCCTCAATTTGCTGCCTTACTAAAGCTTTATCTCCATCCCTGATGACTTTAACAATGACAGGAGATGTAATCAATGTAAAAATGTGACACTGTGTGAGAAAGGAAAGAAATTAAATTGGGTTCAGCAATGACAGGCTGCTGAAGTAGTAGTAATTTGAGTCAAATGATTTCTCAATGAATTTGTGACAACTGGAGCAGAATTTCCAGTCGATGTTTCCAGAGTGCTATGTTAATTCCACAGAGAATTTGAGGCCAGCTAGTTAAAGAGCATACTTGATGCTGCTACCAGATTGCTGTTGGGCGGTGACCTTTGTCCTCCAGAGGTTCTGGAGCAAATCCTCCTAGAAGCTGTGTTAAGGCACATATGCCAAGGGCAGAAAAGTGTTTGGGATCTGACAGCATGGATTTACTGATAATCATAAAAGATACCTGATGAACCCTGGTAACTTTACATAATGAGTGGACTGGCTCTGTGATGGGCAGAGAGCAGTGAATGCTGTTCACCTTAACTTTTGCAGTGACTTTGATACAGTCTGTAATACAGTCAATGTAGCCATTCTGGTGACACATGTACTGGGTAAGCAGACTACTAGATGATGCAGAGAATTGTCTGGGTCACTAGGTTCAGAGGGGTTTGGTCAGTGGTGTATAATCCAGCTGTTGGGTGGTTATTAGTGACATTCTTTTGCTATTTAGAGGGACCTCAGCAGGCTGGAGAAATGGGCTGACAGAAACCTCATGAAGTTCAGCAAAGAAAAGTGAAAAGTAATCTGTGCCTAGACTATGCACAACAATACAGGCTGATTGCTGAATGGCCAGAAGGCAGCATTGCTGGGTAGCACTCAAGTGCCCAGTTGAATGTGAGTCAGTGATGTACCTTGCGGTACTACAGCCAGCAGGTCAATGGAAGGGATCATTCCCCTCTCTTTGGCACTTGTGAGACCGCATGTGAGGACTGTCTCCAGATTTGAGCTCCCTTAAGTAATTGATACATTGGGGCTAGTCCACTGAGGTGATAGGGTACACATAATGTTTAAGGAGACAGAGAGAGCTCGGTTTGTTCAGTCTTGGGAAGAGAAAGTAAAGGGAAGATCTTATTGATGTCTCCAACTGCCGAACTGGATTGTTTAGAGAACACAGAGCCAGATTCTTAACAGTTAAGAGGATGAGAAGCAACACATAGACTATGGCAAGGGGAAGTCTAATTAGACAGCCATAAGGACAGCTTTTCATCTTGGGGGCTGTCAGATACTGAAACAGGTGCTCAGAGAGGCTGTGGAATTCCCATCTGCAGAGATACTTACCTGGATGGGGCCCTAGCAACCTGATCTAAGCTGGTCTGCTGTGTTGCAAAGATAAGCCATTAATCACAGCCTAATAAATACTAAGAAAATTACTGTTTGCATGTAAATATTTCTATGCAACTCCATGTTTTTTCTTTGTATCACCTGTGTGACTCATGTGGGAACTGGGACTTCTTTCTTTTCCCTTTTAAGTAGCTGGGGTCAAGTCCTTCCATGGTAGCAGCCTACTACAGAACTACCTTTGTGGTTACCCATACTACAGACTGTTTGCTATCAAAGCTAAAAGTGCATTGTTGAGTTTAAATGGGCAGCATATAGAGCAGTATGGATTTGTGGTGGGGGTTTGGCACAGATGCCACTGCAGCTGGAGAATATGGGGAATTTCAGCATACAGGATAAGAAGCCTGCAGATCATGATTCCCTTGTTCCCCTTGGTCAGGTGTCTTATACTTTTTTGAGTGTCTGTAGTTGCACTGGGACTCACTCACATAAGGATGGGCTGCCTTTACATTTGGCCATTGTTGGAATGCATCAGACTGCACTGATAGCAACTACAATTCAAAGCAGATTTCTTGACAAATGCTGGAAATCTGTGCTAATTCCTAAAGTTAACATGCAAAACCAGTGATACACAAAGCTGAAGAAACAGTAGGCTTATATGGGAAAGGTTATTCCTTCATATTTAGAAATGGAGGGAAGGTTACACTACACTGCATGCTACTTTTAATCCATGAAAGCTTTACATGCAAAATTATTTGGATTATAAAAGGGAGTTTTCTAAGGGAGTCGGGTTTAACAAAAAAGGAATATCTTACCTGTAGGTCTGTGTGGAGCAGCATTCACAGGAATTCTCTTTTGCTGTCCCTCCTGTGGCAGTATCTATAAGTAAGGCTGGACTTTGATTGGGCAAAGGTTGATTTAGAAGATTATTTATTTAACCAAGATTCACTGAATATGTTCAACACCTTGATAGGCTGCCTTGTCCTTGCTTGCAGAAGTGCTAATCACATGCATGTCTTGGCAGCTTTGAATTTTGCTCTGCTTATAAAAACTTAAGTCAATGAGGTCATCCGAGGCAAGCCTGATCTTTACTCTGGGCAAGAATCTTCTCCAGCTGTAAGAAATATCTTAGCAGGAGCAGGTTCGGATTGTGGTGGATTGACCTGGGCCAGCAGCATTTGACTGCAGATCAAGAGGTTACTGGTTCAAATCTATACATGTTAGATGCCAGGTAAAGGACTGTGATGGGTTAACCTTGGCTGGCAACCAAATGCCCACTGAGCTGCTTTTGCTCCCTTCCTGTACAGAGCAGGAGGGAGAAAATAGGATGAAAAGGTTTGAAGAATTCAAGGTAAGGACGGTAATTGGAAGAGACAGGAAAAGAAAAAAGAAAGGGCTTGTGCTGGAGGGGTGTCTCTGACCACTGAGGCCATCACATGTGTGGAACATGTAGCGTAATCGAGTGACCCATACGTGTAAAGTTTTCTTGGGATAGAGAGCAGGGGTGGCTGGGCTATCAGTATTGTGAGGCCTGACAAATTGGCTATCCTGGACCACTGCTCTGAACCTGACAAGGCGAGTGCTATGTATTTACCATGTGGAAGCGTCTACTGAGTGACCGAAGACATACCCTGTAAACCATACTATTGCCTGAAATGCAATCCTGAGCCTTGAAAGTCAAATGCTGTGTCATGGTACTCCAGAAAGAATCCAGCCAGACAGTGCAACTCGTTTCTAAAAGAACCTTATACAATCCTGGGTCAAGTAACATGGCATTGATTTGGTCCATCACGAAACCTATCACCCACAAGCCTCTGGAAAGGTTGAACAATACAATACTATGTTGAGAGCACAGAACACTGGGGAATGGAAGCAGTGGGATGTAAGTACAGCAGAAGTTGCTTGTATGGTCAGCACCAGATGATCTACTAACTGCCCTTGTTCTTGGTAAGATACCAAGGTACTTAATGAATTGACCGTGCACCGCGCAGATGGGAGCACATGCAAGGATTACAGGTCAGCATACAAGGAAGCAGCGCAGCATTTGAAGCAAAATGGAATTTTTTATTGTACTACCACTGTGATAGTGACTTGAGGTCATTTCAGGTGCAGACAAGAATTTTCAGGAGTAAGGTGTTATACAAATTACCACGGTGCTGGCAGAATGCTGTAGAGTGGTATTGTGGAAGGGTGTAGTTTCAATAAGTGCAATTTAGCAAAGTCTTGCTCTTTGCCAGAATGTATGTGGCCCAAGTCACTCTTGGCCCTATTTTGGAGACAGACATGAGGAGAGTGGGTACCCAGTGGTGCCAGGATGATGGTCCTTACTTAACTTACTTATTCACACCTGAAGAGTCTATACAGGAAAAAAAAAAGATGTAGCAAATCTCTGGATCACTCTGATATTGCTTTTTTAAAGCTGTTTTGCTTTGGTTTTTTATTGTGACTCACCATGACTGTGTTAAGAGCTGGTGAAGAAACCACTTTCATGGCCATTCTACTGGATGAGAGGAGCAGAAAACAGAGCTGTTAATGAAAGACTGGTGAAGTAGACCTTTAATGTTTGTAATCCAAGTGCAAAGTTACAAAGTTCAGTCTACTAAAACACACCTTTTGTTATTAACACAGTTGTACAAGAAGTCCAACCCTAAATTTGAATGAATATAGTTCATATGTTTGGTTCTGAGGATAGTTATGCTCAAAAGATATGTATCAGTGCTGGCACTGTTCTATTGACAAAAGGTTTAAGTGGCTACTTTGCTGTAAATGCATTCCCTCACTTTAAATATTTAATGATAATAACTATATCAGCCACAGCTGAACCTTTTTTGCCTAGGTGCACGTACATCCCTTAAAAATTGATGTAATGAGGATTTCCAAATAGTGCTTGTTTACCTACATATATATATATATATTGCTTGCTGCATCCTTGCTTGCTGCATCCTTGCTGACCACGAGGTCACTAGTTCCCTTGCAGTGCCATCCTGTTTGTTATGAATCCAACAAATAGTTAAAGAAAATTCATTTTCAAATGCAGTGTGTTGGGAGGATACAGGCTTATTTGTGTCCTCTGCTGACTCCAGCTGAAACAATTGTAAATCTGTCCCCTACTCCCTGCAGAACATCATGCCCTCGCAGCTGAGCTCTGCAAAGGTGGCACGCTTGGTCTAAGCCACCACAGTCCAGTGTATTAACAAGAGGCAACATCGCTTTCAATTTATATTAATATGCAAGGCTGTGAACTGCAATAGCTGAAGGGCTGTGATTTGCAACCTCTGTCAGGTAGAGATATGCTCCCTGAAGAAGTTGCTGTTCCCATCCAAGGGGGCCGCGGCCTCTTCAGCTTTCCTTCCACAGCTAAATCTGAAAGGGATTGTGAATCAGAGCCTTGGACTGTTTTAAGGTCTCCTTCAATAGAGTAATAGGAGGATATTCTTAATTTGTTCTTGTATTTAAGCTGTTAAAAATCAGTACAATGCTTTCCCTTTGTCCCTTACTTTGCCACTGATGTTTTTTGTGCTCCAGTTTGGCAAGTATTATATAAAGCAGCATGTGATTTGGTAATAGGAATATTTGGTTCACTGAAGACCTCCTTAATCATGAGGCAAAGTGCATTTGAGCTACCAAATGAATATTCATCAATCTTTCTGCGCATAGCCAAGTGGTAATTAATTCTTTTTCTTCTGGTGACCACATGCTCCTGATACAATAAAGAGACTCTGAGGAAAAAACGAGGGAGCAAGCAGGAATGGCATTGCAATCCTGCTGCTTTGCAGATGAAGGGGAGAATACCCATCCTAGCATTTTGGCTTTATGTCTTCCTAAAAAATAGAAGAATACTCCACATTTGCTGTCCCTGTGTTTTCAGCAAAAAAAGGTATTCTGTTATCCCCTGGACCTGTCAGTAAGGAATTACAGTGGCAGTCCACTTGTCCTAGGCTTTGCTCTTTTTGCTTTAAACATTGAATTGACTTCCCTAGTGACCTTTCTTACTGGAGAATATAAACTAGAAACAATACTTTCTTTTTTAGCTGTTCTTTAGCTGTTCAACAAATATTCTGTGTTGATAATGAATTTGGGCTTTTAGATGCAGAATTTGTTATCAAGTTAACTGTGAGGTTTGTCTGTATGGCTTCTTTGCTGCCACATCAGGCTGAAGTCAATGTTAAAAAATGGATATTTCTCTTGAAGCAAAAATTCAAGGGTGCTAGAAATGAGGAGTTATGTGAGCTAAGTAGACTTTTCAGTGCAGCTATGTGTTTGTTCATAGTAAATGGCTGTACACATGTATATATATTCACATGCATGCACAGCAATCAGTCTTCCAGCCCGCTTGGATAACAGCAGCTGAAGCTGATTTGTTTAACACTGCTCAAATGGCAACACGTTTGGAATTCTTGTCTTCCTTCTGGCACTCGTAACATGTGGGAAGACTTTTCTTTCCAGCTTTTGTTGTTGGGTATTTTCTGGAAAAGAATTTCTTCAGTTCTGCCTTTTAATTGCTGTATCATTCAATAGTCTTCGGGCACGCAAGATGCTGATGCATCAACAATAATGCTACAAATGTACTAATCTGGCTTTTTCCACTCAGCACATGGAGCTTTATTTTTCTTATGGTACACACCCCTATAAAACTGCTGTGGGTTTGGTTTTTGTTTTCTGATTTATGAACAGAATAAGTTACTTCAATCTGTCGTACGTGCATGTTTTGCCCTCTGGAGATGGATTTCTGAATTTGACAGTAGGCTCTGTTCCTTTCCTTCTAGGCTTTTGAAATGTATAAGTAAAGAGTACTATGTCTACTTCACTATTTTCTTCAAGGAGCATTATGAAGAGATGCTTATGCAGTCACTCTAAAGATCATATATTCTTTCTCCAAAAATACAGCTCCATGAGAAAGGAAGTGTCCAAGCCCTAAGGCTTTGACAGCAGCAATTGTGAATTTCTTTCTCTTACCATGTTCCATTCCTCTTCCTTCTGCCTCTGTCCCATCTCGTCCTGTTGTCCCCCCCCAGTCTGTAATCCATCCCAGAAATGCCCCTGATTTCTGTAATAACCTCTATTCAATTTCAGTTTGTCAATAATTTCAGTATTCAATTTCAGTTTGTCAATAAATATATTATTGGGTGGAGACCTGGACTGAGAGCAGCCTGGAAGGGAGACACTTGGGTGTGTTGGTTGATGAAAACCTCAAAATGAGTCAGCTTCAGGGTGCGCTCACAGCCTGGAAACCAAACCATGTTCTGGGCTGCATCAAAAGGAGCATGACCAGCAGGTCGAAGGAGGTGATCCTGACCCTCTACTCTGCTCTTGCGAGACCCTGTGTTCAGCTCGGGGGCCCACAACACAAGAAGGATATGGACCTGTTGGAGCAAGTCCAGAGGAGGCCACAAAGATGATCAGAGGGCTGGAGCACCTTTTCTATGGAGACAGGCTGAGAGAGTTGGGCTTGTTTAGCCTGGGAGACTTTAAAGCAGCCTTCCAGTACCTAAAGGGGCCTAGAAGAAATCTGGAGAGGGGCTTTTTAGCAGGACATGTAGGGACAGGACAAGGGGAATGGCTTTAACCTGCCAGAGGGGAGATTGAGAGGAGCTCTTAGGCAGAAGCTCTTCCCTGTGAGGGTGCTGAGGCGCTGGCACAGGGTGCCCAGAGAAGCTGCGGCTGCCCCATCCCCATCCCAGTGTTCAAGGCCAGGTTGGATGGGGCTTGGAGCAACCTGCTCTAGTGGAAGGTGTCCCTGTCCATGGCAGGGGTTGGGACTGCATGAGCTTTAAGGTCGCTTCCAATGCAAACCAGTCTGGGATTCTATTCTGATATTTTATTACCCTAAGGTTATGCTGGAGTAGTGTCTGGAGGGGGAAGGTGCATCAGCCTCAGCAAATGCAAATGATGTTGCTTCACAGAATCCAGAATTATTTTGTCTCTTTTTTTGTATGCCAAAGACTTAACTTCCGCTTCAAGCTTCTTACTGGGTGCATCCACTCTTGCTACAGGAGGGATTTAAATTGGAATAGCATTCATTTGCCATTCTCTCTCACTGAGATCAGTGATCATAATGCAAAGTCTGAATGTAGCCTTGAAGACAAAGAGAAATACTAGTTTCCTGTAGAAGTTTCCATCTTCTCTGTCACTCTGTATTTGCTTTTATGTTTGGGGAACTATTGTGGTCTGCTCTGGTGAGGCTTATATGATGCTTATAACACTGTTACTAGAAATGTGGGGGTGGATAATGCGTGCTCTTTATTAGTTCTTGTCACTTTGTGGCTTTGAAAGGCTTGTTATCTGTTATCACAAAAAGGAAATGGCTACTGCTATGCTTGGCACTGCAGAAACGCAGAATGCAGCCCTTTTCCTGCATACCCATTGAAAACTGTTATTATAAGCTTTGAGAGGAATATAAATTTAGACACTATCTGAACCAAAGATTAATATGAGAAAAAAAAATGATTTATTTTTATATGGTGTAAAAGCCACTAGAGTTGGTTATGAGATTATAAAATAGTATGAGCTTATAATAATAAATAATTCGTTTAAAATCCCATCCAAACATGCAACAGATCCCATCAGAAATCTTGCCTACGTACTAAAGACAGGCTAGATCTCCACAAAATGCATCTATGGAATTGAGGTTGGCATGGTTGTAAGAGTAAAACTGTTTCTTGGTGACAGCAGAGCTTGTGTCCCAGATTCCAGCTGGAAAATGACACTCAAACTATCTAGGAAATACCCACCTTCACCGTAGCTGATGGCCTGTGTTCAAGGTCGTCCTGAGTGATATGACTACATCTGGGCCTAAATAGCTAAGTGATCCTGAAATGCTGCACTGGGTTCAGAGCTGGAGCAATGGGACATACCTGCTCAAGCAGAGAGAAGAAAACTATTATCCACAGACAGAGCTGAGGTGACATTAAGCTGTTTCCTTGTGCAGGTCATCCAGAAGTGGAAGGATTTCAAGATCTATGTCACTGGGGAAGCCAGCATGAGCTTGAGTGAAACTTGTATGTGGCAGTAAGCTTCATGGTGTTTGAGTCCATATAGCCAGTGGCAAGATCTCAAGAAGTTCAGCAGAAGTAGTATATTCTACTCTCTTGTGCTTTTTGCTTCACCTTTGCAGGGGGCAGTTGCACTGTTATCTCTTGGTTTTCATTTGTTCTATGCACATGAAAGATTCCCAACAGAGTCCTTTAATGATTTCCTAAACTTAAACCACAACTTTTACCTCAGTCAGATTCTCAGTTGTTAATGGTTGTACTTTAAGCTGCTGCTGCTATGTTATTTCACTGCCATACTTTTTTTAAAGCTCACTGTGTCCTGAAGAAGAGGATGATGGAATAAGAACCCTGCATAATTATATTTACTGCCAGTAAGGTGGAATAATAAAGTAGCTAATGGATGCTTAAATCAGGTAGGCATTTATATTAAGGAAATTGAAACTGAAGGATGTTGTCATCATTTTAATGCACCATGTAGGGTTAACTTTGTGAGTGGTGATAATCTGTTATATCAGTTTGAGGGTTTAATCACTTGGCAATGTTAGTCTGATAATTCATTATTACCCAGTGAAGTCACATATTTAATTAGCTTAGATAACAGAACACTGATTTCTCAGGGTTTGTTTGCTTTTGTGGAATTTGATTGACGTAATTAATTTTATTATTTTGATTTAAAAAAAAGGCACATCTTTTCAGTACTTGGTGCCTGGACCTATTTTCTTTACAGTTACAGAATATGTGTATCTTGAGGTACAAAATTTGTAAGGTCTTTGTGATCTCTTTAAATTTAGTTCTAAACTGCTTCACAGCATGATTAATAAAAATAATGGTCACTAAAGAGAAAAGCCTGATGTTTTAATTCAGTATAGAACTCTTTGGGTTTGATGTTTTGATGGTTTTATTTTTATTCTAGATATAAGAAAAGTAAAAATGACAGCCCATTTCTCATTTACAGAAGCCAACTTGTAAGATGTATAATGATGAAGTAGTGTTCTACAAAAGCAAACCAAACAAACTAGGTCTTAAAATTGAGGTAAAGCAGGAGGGCAAAAAGGGGCCTTTTATCATCACTGAGCTGTAGACCAGTGCATCCAAAATGCAGCCCCTGCCATATGATCAGGGCACAGACAAGCATCTATCTAGCACAGATTACAAGCAGGAGTATTAGAGATCCAGAGTGTCTGGTGCACAGCTGTGTCATGTGTGTTCCTGGTGTGCTTGTGTCCAGCATGGTGAAAGGCGCAGTTCTAGACCACCAAGAGGATACAGCCCCTGCTTCACAGATTTGATGAGGACCAGGCTTTCCCACCCTCTCATTTACAGAGCTGAAAGCTGGAGTTGGAGCTGTCAGGATTTGGTTCTAGGAAAACTTTGTAGGTCCTCTGAAATGTGTTTTTGGAACCTCTTGCAAATACTGAATGTTGTGTCATAGATCAGGTGTTGCCAAAAGCTAAATCTTAGTTATCTTCTGTATATGTTTTCCCTCATGACTATACTGTTTTTCATTTGTAATAGATGATCTAGGTGAAACTGAACTTTACTTTCTCTCTTGCTATCTGAATATTATTTGCATACCACTTAGACAAATCCTGGAATTTACCTTATTGGATTTTTTTTCCATTATCATGGGAATGTGTAGGTGAGGGTGATTGTCTAATGCAGCCTTAGGGCATGTTTTTCAGGGTGTGTATTTCTCTCATGTTGCTTTTTTTGTTTTGGTTAAAGTAGGATGGAAACATTAAGATTTCAATAGCCAAAACCTATCACTGAGTTTATCTTTTGATTTAGTATAAACACATACAACATACAAAAGCTGAAATTGTCTTTTTTTCTTTTTTCTATGAGGTTGCAAAAGGTAGGAAATGCATTGGACACACATTCTGTTCTCTGATATTGTGATCTATGTTTTTCATACCCCTGATTTATCCTTGCCTTGCAATCTTGTACTGAACACTTGTTAACTGTCATATTGAATCTGATGGATTTACTAACACTGAGACATCTGAGGAGATCTCACTTGCCTTAACACAAATGGGCACCCATTCAGATTTATTCAGCAAGCAGAACTTTGCTTCTTGCCTTTTTTATTTATATATTTTATTTTCTGTATGGTTGAAACTGGGGATTTTTCCCTCTGTAAGCCCTGTTTGAAGTTACACGGTAGGTGTTCTAGGGGGTGTTGCATTGCACCCTCAGTATTTTCCTATATTGCTCAGCTTAGATGCCTGTCAAGAATGCACACGCAGCTCGCTTAAAGCCTCCCGAGGCATTTCTCAAATAAAAAAGCTGCTCACTGCTTTATTTCTGAAAAGAAACCTCAGGGATATATTCAGTCTTGCTCGCTTGTGAGTACGCATTCACTGGCTCCACCAGTTACAGGCTGAGTAACTGGGATTATGCTCCGCTGACAGACCTGTTGCTGAATGGGCTTCAAAGAACATGTTGCTTGCTCTGCAGGAGAAGTGATTGCTTTGGGATTGGCATGAGAGAAAGTGGAAGGAGAAGAGGGAAAAAACCTTAGTAATCTTGCTTTGCTCTTTGAATTGTGCACGCTTCGTGCATGGCTGATATTTGTGCCTGAGCTCTCAAGTCAGCACCTATTACAGATGTGGTGGTCTTAAGGAAGTTTGGAAGCAACTCTGGAAACTTACGTCTTTGCCACACAGAGCCTGTACATTTTCAGTAAATGTGTCTGGAACACTGAACTACTTCCTGCTATAGCTGGGATTTTGATTGCTTTAATGAGTTGCAGAGGCTGTGAACTGGCAGCTCCATTCCCCTTGAACTCACCACTATGTTCTATGCGTCTCAAAAGCTGTTAAAAGAGCAACTGAACTCATGCTTCTTGTCTGCACTCCGAAAAGGAAACCTCTTCAAAGTCTTTTAAGTGTCCAAAAATTACTGGGTCATCTAAGAGAGGAATTGTTAGCTAAAGTGGCCTTAGCTGGTAAAAGCCAAGAAGATCTCCTGGTCCTGGATAGCTGTCCTATAACTGAAAGCTTGACATCAGAAAGTGCATGGGGACCCTTTTAGAAAGCCAATAAAGAGCTGAAAGGTAGGTGAAGAATAGGTATTGTAGTTACAAAAACAGAGAAACCAACCAGACATTCAACTTCTTGCAAGTGCAGTCCACACTGTGGGAATTTCTTTGCAGTACAGAAAAGTGCAGATAAATGCTTCATTATCATTTTCACTCCCACCATTTCACCCCCCTCCTCTACCAAAAAGAAGATCTGAGCATACCTAAGAGAACTGATTTAACTCACACGAGTACACAGAGTACAAGCACTGGACAATGTGGAACAACTGAAGTCCTGCAAGGCTTTCTTCCGAGTCTTCATCTAAGGTGGTAGGTGAGAGGCAAAAAAATCCCAAACCCCAAGCAAGCAGAAGCAAAGCTTTTGGTTTTTATTTACTTATTTAACCTCAAAATCTTTCAAGGCACCCACCCATTTGGAAAGTGGAGGCCAAGCACACCACTCATGCTTTTCTTCTTCCTAGAACCATACCAAGCTCCATTTGTGCCTGGCACTGGAACATTTCTGAAAGAGCTTCATTTTTCTAGGGAAAGGAAAATCTATATTCTGAGGTGACAAATGAAGCTCTATTGCCCCTTAGCACTGGTCTGGAACAGGAGGATGTTGTGGTAAGCATGATTTATATTTTTTCCTTCAGAATTTCTCTCTTTTTTCCTGACGACCACATCAAAATTCTCCTGCTCCTTCTCAGAGTACAAATACACTTGTGATAGGAACTGAATTATTTTCATCATTGAAAAAGGTATGTCAGTAACCTGTTGTTCTGTACATTTATTTTAATGTCCCGAGACAGCCTGCTGGGAGCCAAGCTCTTGTCTGTGCAAGCCAAACAATTTGATGCAGGTGCCCTCTTGAGAAGAAACAATTCCAAAGGAATTCTGCTTTTAGGAATTTATTGACAGCTGTTGAGTTCACCACAGCCTGTGTCAATAATTGTGTGATTGTGGTCTAAGTCCTAACTTTCAGCTATTTTAGCTACTGCCCTCTGATCCTCAATAAGCCAGTTGCCTGCAACTTGAGTTTACAGGTAGTACCTGTGTGTGTTCTGGTTTGTGGTATCTGTCATCTTGTTGGTTTGTTTGTTTCTTTTTTATCTCTGTCTTATCTGAACACAGAGGGTTACCTTGTGTTTTACAAGTTCATTGCTTCAGGGGAAGGTCCTTGCACTTTTGACTGCTCTGCAAGTGCTAGGAGAGGCTTGCAGCACCAAGCTGAGTGATCCTAGACCTCTCCTCTGTACCATGAGAAGAACTCATGGATAACTGCATGTTTTGTTTTCTTCTCTTTCCTTTTTTAGTGCAGAAGATGACTCAGATCACAGGGTTCCTCGCCAGGCCTGGAGGCAGCAGCCCTGTACTGGTGTTCCAAATGGCAGCTTTGGCAATGCTGGTATCAGGTAAGGAGCCCTGGCAAGGAAAAGCATGCTGTTGGCATTTCCCAAATCCTGTTTAGGAGTTACTTGTTGTGGCAGAGGTGCTGCCTGGATTATGGGAAGGAAAGAATATTTATTGCAATAAGCTTTCAGCAGGGCATGCTCTGCATGATGTTTCTCAGCCTTTTGTTTTCTCCATGATGAATTTTTCCCAGGAAGATGGAGGCAAAACCTGGTCCCAAAAGAGCAGTATTTTGAGCCAATCAGTATTTTCATATTATCTTTCAATGGAATAATTCAATAATTGGTGAAAGCAAAAACCTTCAAGTTGAAGAGAAAAAAAAAAAAACCCAAAATATCCCTCTCCCCTGATGCTTTTGCTGCCTTTTTTGAAGAAAGGATTATCTTCTCAGCTTCCATTTTTATGAAAACAAGAAACTTTATAGACAATATTCTGTTTGTGTAATGCCTCTGCCACAAGGTCTGTGATAGGAAACAGATTTTTCTTCCTCTCATATGAGTGAAAATGTATTTTTTTTATTATGGTACCTGTTATCCTGGGTACTCTGTGCACATCTGGAGCACGAGATAGCCTGGACTTTCACAGCACATGAATGAATGGAGAAGTATGGTGAGGGAGGGGGAGCTGGCCTGGTACAAAGATCAGCTCAGTTACTGCCTGCTGTGCTCCACCACAGATCACGGTATGCTGGAAGTGATTTAGGCATCTACCCCAAATTATCTGGAAGAAGGAGAGACCGTGAATTTAAATTGCCTCATCAAGCATCAGCAGGATCAGTCATCACAAATGGAGGCTCGCTGGTATAAAAAACCAAAGAAGCAAAATGAGTCTGGGTTTGCAAAGACATGGAAGGTTTGCACCACTCCTGAAACTTAAACCTGAAAAGTCACGTCCTCTCTTGCTTCTGAAAATTCAGAATATCAACCAGACAGTGGCCACACTCAATGCAGAGCCAAAATAAAGAACACTGTCCTGACTGCTATGGGCCTCTTTATTAGGGTGAATGTAACAGGTAAGCTCTATGTGTCCAGGAGCTTTCTAGCAGAGGGAGTTGTGAGATCACATCCTTGTCTCTGAAGTGAAATTTCTGCATGCTGAAAACAGTTCATGGAGATGTATCCTCTCCTCCTAGGGTGTGAAACTGAAAATGTTTGCTGCCACGCTGTGACATGTGGAGTAAGTTTCATACTCCTCTGTCTTTTCATCTGTGCATGCTAAATGCAAGACTGACATGTGAAGAATGTTGGGGATTTGGTTTAGATTGGCTGTGGATCTCTCAGAGCTAATGGGAATAGTTTCCCATGGGGAAACTCTGAGCACCGTTACCACAGCTGAAAGGAATAGGGTGAAAAAAGTGGTCTGGGAAAATGTATGTCAGTCTTGGGTTAGCTGCAGGTTTGTCCCAGTTCACCCAGCATCTGCTCTATAGCCAGAGCTTCATTCACAGGTGGGGAAAGTTCTTTTCTCTAAAATGGAGATCTGTGTATTTTCTTAATAGGGGACCTCTGTGTACGCAAACAGTGCAGCCTTATGGCCTCTTGGATTAACTATAGTGTACGTAGACCTCAGGGAGGATTGGTGCTTAGAGGGAGTAGGACTTGAGATATGGCAGCCACCACTGAGTTGTTTTGTTCTTATTGAGGTGATTTATTTTTCTCTTGCTTCATTACTCAGGTTAAAAAGGGATGAAACGTGCAGTGGCAGTGCTCCTGTACAATAATTTCTCTACAGGTCTTAACTGATCATATGGTATGGTGTCTTCTACTTGTGCCAAGTGACTTCAGCTCCAAGCCTCCAGCAGAAGGGAATATATCTCTGGCATAACTAGCTGAGGTTCTCATCTGGTAGTTGTAGTGGTGGTGAGCTACTAGAGCTTTTTTAGGATGGTTCTGATCAGGGGCAGGCTGAGAAGCCAGCTCGTATTCCTTCCAAGCTGTTCCCAGCTTTGTTAAGACATAGGGATTATATCCATCTTTTCCCTTCCTAAAGTTCTCTCCAACATATTTTGATTAAAAATAAAATAAAAATTCAGTTACTTTCCTGCCACTAAGTTTTAGGTGAAAGAAGATGCAGTTCCACAGACTTTTATTTGCATGTTGGTCATTATATCTGGCGTGAGTGTTGTCAATACCACAAGGAGGACAAAAGGTGACCCGAAACAGAACAAAGATCTGAGGATGGATTCTGAGCTGGAGAAGATGTGGACTGTGGTCATGATATCCTGGATAATTTTGTATGCCAAAGGTAAGAAGATTATCTCCATACCTACCTCCCTACCTCCCTATTTCTTTTCTGGGGATAGAGCTTATGACCGATTTTATAAAATCACAAGTCTCACAGGTGGATTTCTGGCACGGCCCTTATATTTAATGACTTCCCCTTTCCCACTGTAATAATTCCATAGAGGTTAGCAGGCTGAAACTCCCCAGGCGGCAGGATGAAACGATGCCAACTAAGTTGCTTTGGTTTTGGTTTTCAGTGATTTTGCAGCAGGTGCAGCAGAGCTGGATTCTGGCCAACATCCACAGCAGTCACCTAACTCAGCGTTCAGTTCATGATCTTGCCAAAAGAGAACGCGCAGAATGAGCACAGGACCATTGTTTTATGGACTTCAGATGCCTCCTGTGTGGCTTTTGGGGAACATGTAGCTGTGTGCTAATGTGACATAAGGTGTCTTGCAAATTAAACACTGAGGCTGAGCTCAGGCAGTTAATTTAGATGTGTGAAAGTCTCTCTTCTCAGCCAGATGACCACTCTGTATAACCTTTGAAATGCAGTCTTGCATCAGTCACTTTTTTACCAAGCTTGTGTTTTACTGATTTGCATTTGTATATTTTGCTCCTGAACACCAGGAGATTTTTTTTCTTTTATATTTTCTTTTTTTTTTTTTTTTTTGCTTTAATGTGTTCATCTTTTATTTTTTCCCCACTCAAGGGCTTGTGCCGTGAAAACCCTGTCTGTGGAGTCTGGGCTGCTTTGCTTAAACAAGATAGGTTTCCTGAGATACTGTAAGAACAACTTCATTTTATCGTGCATGATGAATATCCGGGATTCATGTTGTGTTTCATGGCTCACTTAAAGCTTTCAAGGGACTTATTTCTGGAATTGCTGGTACTGGTTCTTTGGGATTATTCACATTTTCCCTGTAGCTCCATCCAGGCAGAGAAGGATTTCTTCCTGTCCTAGAACTGAAATTTTCTCATATCTAGTGTCAGTTCTTCCAGTTTTTGCCATCATCAAGGCAATGGATTTCTCAGTGTTGGTACTCTTTGAAATGAAGAGATGGTTTCTTTCCAGCTGTACTTTCTGGAACTTGCCTCCCATATGGGGAGGTTTTCCCTTCCTACTACAGCTCTCTATGTAAAGAAGGGTTTCCTGGGTTCTTCTCTCATCTGAAATGTCTTCTGATATATTTCTAGTCTATCCTCTGTGCTCTTCAATTTGTTCTGAGAGAGCTTGTAGCCCTTATTCAACTCTGGGCAGTCTGTGCTCAAGTGAGTGATGCACAGGAAGCAGGAATGAAGTTATTGTCAAACTCCTTGTTTTGCACACAGAAAGCAAAACCAGGCATGTTTTACCCTAACTGTGGGATTTTTTCAAAGGCTATTTTGTCTGTAGTCTTTTAACTGTCTTGTGTCCCTCTCCCCTTTTCCAAGTATTTATGTAAATTTGCCTTCTGTGTAAGAGGTTCTCTCCTAGTACTTAAAATCTGGTATCAAATGACAAAGGGAAGATGGCTATATCTATATCTGTTTCTGTGGTTACGAAAGCTTGTCTGATGAGCACTTCGGACCACTGCCATGTTTTTCAAGCTTGGACATGTGTGTAATGTTTCTGAATGTCAAAACAGACATGTATCTGCTAAATAAATAAGTCAAGTGATCCTTTATTTCCTCATCACTTTGCCAGGTACCTGACTGTTTAGCAGCTCGGAACGGCTGCAATTGCTGCTGCTCTGGGAGCCTTTCCATCAAAGGCAGCCTGATTTGGGATTCTTGTTGGAATGAACGTGCATGTCGCAGCTTACAGAACCAGCTGCTTAAAGGGCATCCTTGATGCCGAGAAGCAGTAACAAGCAGGATAGAAGTCTTGCTAGCTGGGGGAAGGGAAAGAGAGGCAGGAAGAGCATTGTATGATCCTATGTTTTGGGTTCCACTGAACCAGTTCAGACTGCAGATATTTTTAGCACTGTCCTTCATCCGGTAGTATGCTGTACAATTACACATCAACATGATGCTTCTCTTGTAGGTTCGTGTAGCTATGTTTCCACCTCCTGGCAACTATAAGGAATAGCTGAAAGGAGACTAAAGAGAATCATGTTTTTATTTTGGCTAGGCACTAGAAAATGAAGTAGGAAGAAGCGCTTCTCTTGAGCTTGAAGAGTTTTTTAACTCTTCAAAATTCAGTGTTCTATGCAAGGTATAAACATAGAAGCTGTTTCCAAATAGTTTGCTTTGCAGCTACTGTGAAAATCAGTGCTTGAACTGAAAGGTCATAAATACAAGGTACTTGCAGCAGGACTGAAAGTAATAAAAAACCGGACAGTCATTTTATATTGACGGAGGAAGCATGAGTGTATATCGATGGTAACTGGGCACAATAACAGCCCTAGTGAAACTGCAGTCTCTAAAATACCTACACATTCTGCCTATTAGAGGCAACAATTGTTACAGTGTTATGGGGAACACAGTCAAGACTTTAGGTATTCAGTGAGGTAAGTGCCCTTCATTAACAAGAAAATGTTAATTTCCCTAATTAAAAATCTCTGTCAGGATGACCTCTCCCTGGCTTTGACAACAATACAGCCAGAGCTGGGTTTTCTTTCAGGAGCTGATCACAAACCTATAGTGCCATTTGTTGCTCTTTGCCAGGTCAATGCCATCTTTCACAGGAAAGACCAAAAGTCCTTTTGGTAGCCACCTCAGAACTGCCTTGAATGAACAGGAAAAAGATAATTTTGAGTAGATAGTGAAATACATGCTTCTAGAACCTATAAAGAAAAGCATGGACTGCTAGTCCAAAACTTCCAGATCGAAATGTCTTTTTCAGTGAAAACTGATTTTCAAGCTAACTGTCCAAATATGTTTTCAGCCAGGATCCCTTATGGGCATAATGATTTCACTGTTCCTTATACCCTTGTTAACTGCATTAAAGGTAGTCTGGGGAAGTTTTGTAGCACATGTATGTATGAGCCTGGTTGAGTAGAGGTGCTGGACTCCGAAGTATTGAATCTGGACTTTGAGTGAGGTTGTTTTCTTGTTCAGTTGTAGGAACTCCCATGTAAGCTGCAGTCAGTGTCCACAACTTGTCTTCTTCTACATGACGTGTTGCAGCGTCCAGGAAAATCATCTTGGAAGCCTATATATGTTGAATCCACATGTTCAAAGGTGCCTCTAGTGTATCCCTTTTGATGCACTTTTTAAATTCCTTTAGCCAGCGGCTATTTATCATTACAGAAGTCATAAACTAGCTCTGACACTAAATCATGTAGAAGCAATGTGCAACCCAGATTTCTGTTGATGGAAGCTTTACGAACATCCAAATAACTTTTCCTGCTGTACACAGCTCATGGTTCTGTAAGCAGGGAGCTAAGGAGGAAAAGAGGTGAGGAAAACAGGTGGGGCAGCACTGCCAGCACCATTTTGCTCTCCTATCTTCATTTTGAAGATAGCTGCTTAACCCCAGGCATTTGCTCTACTGAAAGGGTCCACTTTCATAAGAGAGTTAGACAGGAAATGGTACAAAATCAGTGACGCACCCTCATTAGCTGAGCATCCCTAGATGCCTTGTCACTTTAGTACAACACCTCTAAAAGTGTGTGCATAATGCTCTATATCTATATATTGATTTTTATAAACACACAGGTCTGTAGCAACAGGCACATACAAGTGCCACAGCGCAGGTACTTTTAGCAAATTAAGATGTTTTACATGTATTTTAAGTGGGTTGCTGGCTGTGCACCATGGCACAGTTTGTATAGTCTTGAGGGCAGGGGGTGGGAAGAAGGCTGTGGTCCACTGGCCTGAATGAATGCAAAGGCCTTATGGGGAGTGTGAGGCTTCCTGAGTCCGCTTCTGACACTTCCTGAACATTCTGTTGCTAGCTGACCTTTCTTGCATCTTATTTCCCTCTCTCTCTTGATTGGTTTGTAGTGTCTTGTCTCAATTTTTCACGCAGGACCTTAGGACACTGAATAAAGAGCCAAAAGTCCTGATGTGGAGGCAGGATGCCTGGAGCAGGCATTGCTTTGCCACCTTGTCCTCAGGAGCTTCCCCTCTGCACTGTGTTTTAAGCCACTCTGGGAAGATGAGAAAATGAAGATATTTTGCCATCAATCCCCACAGTCCCATGACAGCATCAAAGTTTGTGGGAGCTGACCTAACTTCATGTCACATTTTCCACCTATGGACCACTGGCTTACAAAAAGGGCAGGCAGTCCATGCAGCTCAAATCTGAATAAGGACATGTTGTAGGACTGGGCTTCTCTGGGCTTCATACTCCCTTGCATCAAGCACAGAATCTGTCAGAGGTGCTGCTAGCCATCTGCATTACAGGAAAGAAATGGGGGTGAGAAGTTTGACTGGAAACTACTGTGGAGAGTTTTTCTAAACCACTAATTGACACAGAGCTATAGGTGTGAAACTGGCTCAAAAGAAAGAGGGTTTATGACAGCAAAGAAACCTGTATGGTGAGGGAGGAAATGTGCAAAGCAAAAGCATCCCCTTTGGTCTATTACACTGCACCAAAAGAATGTAGACAGTGATGAACGCCACCCTGACATAGGTGTCAGAACTTTAGTTTGCATTTGAGAGGGTGGGATGTGTAGTTTTTCCAACATAAGTATGGGTCCAACATAGGTAGGGGTTTCTATTTCAGGTATGCTCTGTTACACAAGTGATATGCTCTACTTCATGTAAAAATCACATAAATGGAAGTCACTAGAGAAAAACTACTGAGCCTTCTCCTTTGCCATGTGATAAGTGGTATGGATTTCATATTTAGAATTGTTGATCTAGCTTCTCTAGAAAGACAGAAGAGACAATGCTTTCCTTTTCTAAACATAAAAAATAAATGTACTTCCACGTGATGACCCTGAGGGTGGTTGAGTATGCAGCTCCTTGAGTCTAGAGGAGCTGCCTCCTAGCTGAGTCTGTTGGGGATTCCTGAGACTTGTTGCAGGATGTTCACAGCTCTCCATGGCAAGAGGAAGCTGTAGCTTTCAGAGAACCTCCCTGGGTGTGAAGGAGCAGTGAACAGCTGAAGGAGAGAAGCCTGGTATTCCTGGCTCTACCCATCCTTGGTATTGCCTAAACCACGGCTAGTTATGCTACACATTAAGATTGATGGGTGAGGAGGAACCATCTGGGGTTTTATTTCTGCTACACACCAGTTCTGCTATTTCAGTTTTTTCTGAAGTGGGAATTATTTGAGATTTTCAGCTTCTTTACATGCAATTCAGTGTAATTCCATCCTCTTTGTCTATGGAGTGGGAGGCCAATCTCTTCAGCTGAAAGATGAGGAGGAAACTTTCATCTGGGGAGCTTGAGATATGCACTGATCCTTACTGAAGTGTTTGGAGAGTTAAGCATCCACCTATAAATTGCCTCTTTTCTCTTCATCTCTGAATACTTTTTCTTGGATTATCCATACCTCTGAAGGCAGTAATTGTACTTGTGGGTTGTTGGTTCCCAGGTTCTACCTGGGAAACTGGCAGCAGTGTGCAGTGGGTCAACAAGAGGCAGGAATTAAAGGAGTTAAGGTAATGAATATCTCTGTTGTAGGTAGATCTGGTTGCTGGATTATTAGGATTGAGTGAGAAGTCCCTGAGGTTAATGATCCACAAGTGGTAAGGGGATTCTGTAGGACCAGGAGCAGAAGCCGTTGAGCACGGCCATGTTGGTGCAGTGACCAAGCAATTAGGGGAAAATTATTAGAAAATAAATCTTTTTTCTTGGTCTTTGGAAATTGCAATATAATTTCCTCTGGATATTTTAACCTAGAAGTGTCTGGTTTTAAAGGCTTCATTATCAGCAGTGCTTAGCCCCCATATGTTTGCTGACATTGGTGGATGCTACAGATGATTTATAGCTGGGAAAGTCATGCTGTTAGATACATGGGCTATTTTTTTCTCCCATAC